TCTGTCTTCTAACGATTCTAATGGATTCACTAGTTTCAAAATCAATGTTCTAAAGCAGCGGTTCTCAATCCTGTTCCTTGCGTCCCCCTGCTCTGCATCTCTCTCTCTCTCAGTCTCTCATTCAGATCACCAGCTCAGCTCAAACAATGAACTGTTCCATTTATACACTTATTTTCACATAGCTATGAGAAGAAGCGCGTGCGGTTGCCGTACTGTATTAAAGCTTTAATCAGGAAAAAACATATATTAAAAGCTAACAGAAGCAGTAGCATTTACAAATAACAGCGTATCTAAAAGTATGAGACAACAACAAACAAAAAAACATACCTTTAAGAGCCGTGCTTGCCAGAGGCGGACAGTAGTGAAGTATTTTTACTCTGCTGTAAAAGTACTTTTCAGGTGTCTGTACTTGATCAGAGTGTTTTTCTTTAGAAAACTTTACTTCACAACATTCCAAAGCATAATATTGTACTTTTTACTGCACTACATTTCATATTAAATATCATTTAATACTTAATTACATTAGAAATCTATTACTTTCTTACTTTTACTCAAGGATTTTAATTCAAAGATTTACTTGAGTGCAAGAAAGTACTACATTTTTAATGTTCTTAAGTATTAAAGGAAAACAAACAACAACTTTTATTTATGAAATGAAGTGCTGTAAAAAGTATGACATTATGCTTTGGAATGTAGTGAAGTAAAGTCTTCCAAAGAAAAACACTCTGATAAACTACAGATACTTTTTAAATTTACTTGAGTAAAGTAAAAATACTTCACTACTGTCCGCCTCTGGTGCTTGCACAGTTTCTGCGCGATCCTCTTCACTAATATCCTCTGCATCTCAATCGGGCTCAAATTGATAAGCAATATAGATGACGCCATTGTTTACAATACAACCGGAGCACATGCCGCTGAGGTGAGGGGCAGGACGTTTAGACTCGCACTAGAGGCGGTTTAGCCAATCACAACACACTGGACCATCTAACCAATCAGAGCCCATCGCGTATTTCTGAGGGAGGGGCTTCATAAAACCAGGAAATGATCAGCACGTTTATAGGAGAAGGGACAGAGCGGTGTGGAATAAAGGTAAATTATGTGAAAAATAATGCGTTTTCTTAAAAACAAAGCATTAACACGTTAGACTGCACTCCATAAACACAATCAAGCCTAGAAAAAAACAGTCAACCACCCCTTGAAGAAATCTGCCAGTGCAGTAGGACAAAATACACGTGTGTTAAATATAGGATTGGGTATCGAAAACCGGTTCCATTTTAGAACTGGTTCCAAATTTCCAAGAACCGGGTATTCGATAAGACGCGTGCATTTTGATTCTGCTTAACGATTCCTGCGTTCGCATTTTAATGTGATTAAACGGAATCGGAATCGATAAAATTCAAATGATACCCAACCCTAGTTAAATATGTACTCCCTGAAAACCAGTCTTGTCAAGAAATAGTTTTTAAACACATTTTAACTGTAAAATTATTTTTGTTTTGTTTTGCAGGGACAGTGCACATAAATAAACATTACTGTAAATGTGCTATTATTCAGCTATAGTTCCCCTGGAAAGAAAGTCATAAAACAAATATAAAATTAAAATTATGAAATAATTTAAATTATAAACATGCCAAAAAATGCATTTTTGTTCTAGAAAGTATTTGTAAAATATTTGTTTTATATTTTTATCACTATTTTTCCTTGTTTTTTAATAGACATCTAAGCATCCTTAAAACCGTATATTTGCTAGAAAACTACAAAATTGTGCTTTGATTTTCAGGGTATGTTTACACAACAATGTACTTAAAATGGAGACGTTTTTCCTTTACTTTTTTTCACATACAGACCAAAACTATTTCAAAACGTCCTGTTCACACGGTCACTTTGTAAAAAAAAAACACAAAAAAAAAACGTTATGCTCCTGCGCACATACATATAGACTAAACATGTAATATGTATGCGCATGACATCATCAATTTCACTAATTCTCATTTTGGTAGATTACACGGAGACAATAATGATATCATTTTCAAAAACTTGCACTTTGAAACCCGTTTTTCAAAGGTTCGCGTTTTCAGGCCCCCAAAATGCATTGCCGTGTAAATGAATGCCCAAAAAGTATCAAAAGTTTTCTGTTTTTAGTTAAAAATGGTGTCATGTAAGATTTTAAGAATTGTTTTCAGAGAACATATTATCCAAAAAAAAATTTCTACTAACATAAATCTAACAAAATCTTGTGAGGTTTATGCTTTAAACAGGATCTGTTTGCCACTGGGGTAAGACATTAATTCAAGATATTTTCTAAAATCAAGTCTAATAATATCTCATGCAAATTTGCTCTCAATTCAATGCATTTTGTTTTAAAGATACTGAGATTTTTCCCTCTAAAACACAACATAAATACATAAAGATAATGTTTGCAGCATATATCTGAGCAGCAGCTTCATAAGATATGAAATGTTTATCATATATAATCGTAATGTATTTTAGCTCTCCGGTTGAGTTTCCAGGTCACAATAGTAATTAAACGGGTGTTGGTGTCTTTGCACCTTTATAGATGGAAGCACGTTGCCATAGCAACAGCTTGGGTGGACACACCTGATAATAACGGGTGTGAACGAGAAAGCAGAGAAGCCCATTGTTTCTCGCCTTTTCAGTTGCATTTTTTTCTCTTTTCGTCTTTAATTCTCTCTTTTCCTCTTCTCTTTATGTGTGCCTGACGGATACGCAGAGCTCCACATTTTAATTAGCATCGAACTTTCTGTTGAGACCTGAAGAGAGTGAATCATCAAAGGCTCGTTTTTGTTTATTCCTCGGTGCTATTCTCGGCAAAGTTTGTCTCCAGAACTCTGATGAGACAGACTGTTCCCCTCGCGGCAGTTTGGAAGTTACCCATTAGCCTTAGGGAAGAAGATGAGTAAACACTTTCATTCTTGGTAAATGCATATCTCTCCCCACTCGCAAAGCGCATGAGAGACACAGGAAGGTTCTTTGTCACAGTCAAGGCCTCATTTGACATAGACTTTATAAGTCCTGTGATTCCCTGCCATAAAAACCCGGAGGTCTCCACAACTTGTGTCAAAACAAGCTCCGCAACAAGCCAGTCAGAAAGAAAAGAGAAGCGTTTTGTTTAATCTTCCTGTATTTACTGGTCCGGCTGTATTCGTTGGCACAAACTCAAACAAAGGTGGGTTTATTCTGTTTAGCTTTTGCACTTCCATATATTTATTATACACACCCATATTTTTTCCCTACTTAAGAAACGGGCTCTCTCCTGCGGGGTGTTCCAGGTACGAACATCAACAAGGATCAAACGACTCAATCTGTGTGTGTTCATGTATGCCGAGTCTAATGTGACCTGAAGGGAGCACACAGCTTCTGTTCTCAGCGCTGACAGCTGAAAGTGAAATTCTTGCATTGAACCGTGTTCTCTGTTAGCGCTTCAGGGCTGTATGATAGCTATGAGCATGGTGAAATGTCTTCCTGAAAACATTTCATATTTGCTCAGTCAATATATAAAATATTAAATGTATGCATTTGATTCCCAGGAAATGCATGAAGTAATGTAAATTATTCAGTTAAAGGGTTAATTCAGTGGCTGGCAAGATGGGGTTTTAATAAAAGTTGGCTGTCTGTACAGCAGAAACATTTTTTTTTTGGGTGCTTCATGACTAGGGAAAACAGAGAAAAAATTGCTGTGGTGAAAGGTGGAAAAACTTCAACACCCACAATGCACTGGGCTTGTTCAGATTATCTGTGAGTGGAGATAAAAAAAAAAAATGATCTGCTAACAAATAAATAGGGATATCTTGGTAACACGGAAAAATACACACATATATATATATATATATATATATATACAGTATATATACACACACAATACATATAGTCCATTTACTCATACTACTGACATTGTAACAATACAAAGCTGGATGAAATCTGTGAGTCTCTTCTGCTCACCAAAGTTGCATTTATTCATCAAAAATACAGTAAAAATAGTAATGTGTGAAACAATATTATTATTATTTTTTTTTTAATTTTAATACATTTTAAAATGCAGTTTATTCCTGATGCAAAGCTGGATTTTCAGCATCACTCCAGTCTTCAGATGATGCTGATTTCTTGCTCCACAAACTTTTTTTTTTATTTACAAATTTTTAAATGTCTTTACTTCACTATTGATCAAATTAATGCGTCCTTGCTGAATAAAAGTTATGACTTGGTTTAGAAATGGCCGAACATGCATTTTTCATATGCAAATACATAGTTGTTTTATTCCATGCATTACTATCTTGAATGAAAGAAAGAAAGAAACAAGCTGGATCTAAACCGAATAGAGAGAGCAAAGTGGACATCAACAAGATGAGGATATATGAGGGTCAGCTACAGTAGAAGCTTCACTGAGATATACACACTAAACTCCAGCGTCATCAGAACACTCAGATGTTGCTACAAAACAAGACATCTGACACTGATCAGAAAGAGTTCAAATGAGCAAAAGAACAAAGATTTGTTGGTACATGCTTAGAAAGAGAAACTAAGATTCATCTATGCGTAATACTAAATGAGCTGTTGTGTGGGAGCACTTTATGAGAAGCGCTACAAGCCAATAACAAAGCACAAGATGAAATTTCACCTGAATATCAACGTAAACTGACTCCTAGTATGCAAAAAGACTTCACAGCTGCATGTCATTCATTAAATCAAAAGTCATTTGTAACATTATAAATGTGTTTACTGCAACTTTTATAAAATTGCGTCCTTAATGAATAAAAGTGCTAATTTCTTTTAAAAATATAATAATTTCATAATGATTCCACAAATCCCTTTTATTCCTTTTAATCAGCCATGTATAATGGATGTATAAAACTATTTAGCCGCATTTTAAATAGCCTATACAATGTTTATTTCTCTGTGTACATTAACTGTTTTAAATTTAAAATTAAACCTATTTTAAAATAAAAATAATGGGATAAATAATGCAGTCTCTTATATTCCAGGTCCAGGATGGAACATGAAGCAGAGAAGTACCAGCAGCGACTGAAAGCTATAGAGGTACGTCCCACAGAAGCCATGTTTGTATTTCATATATCATTATATGACATTTCGAACCCGTCAACAGCGTGCAGTGGATTAATTTAGCATTTAAATGACAGCGCCGCTTAAGCCCTGCAAACAGTGTCACGCGGAAACATACAGACACATCCATCATATTAGAGTCTGCTGCTGTTTGACAACACTTATTATTGCAGTACCTGTGGACTTCCAGAGGTAGCCGTTACGAATTGTGCTTTTAATAGAAACGTGCATGAAAACAAATAGACTGTATTTGGTACACTCTTAAAAATAAAGGGTTCAAAAGGGGTTTTGACAGAAAAGAATTTTGGGTTCTACAAAGAAACTTTCAATGAACAGTTCTTAAAAGAAACTTTTTATGTCTGTGTGAAGAACAATTTAAATAAGCTTTTTCAATGACAAAGAGTCTTGAGTGCAATGGAAAGGTTTTATGGGTGTTAAAGGTTCTTCATGGATCCATAGAATGCCAACAAAGAACTTTTTATTTTTAAGAGTGTACAGCATGTCTCTCACAAACACACACATGCATGGAAACTGGTGTTAGATGTGTTCACGACTCATTCTGTGGCCCCTGAATTATTAAGTGTGATGGAGTCTGTCCAGACCAGGTAAAACTACACCAGACAACTGCAAAGACGCTCTACCCATGAGTCTCTTCACCTGCTCGGTGTTATACGAAATATTCATGTCCTCTGAATGCATTATAGTATTCATTTCAAGTCATGATGACCCTCGGGTTCAGTGGGTGATTTTGTCTAAAATTCAACATTTATACATGTAGCACCAACATTGAAAGCTTACGGTTACAGAGGACAACTCTGTGAGTTTAGAAATACAATCCCGGTTGAGAGATGATACTTTTCTGCAGACACGCACACTTGTATCACAAAGTGTTGTTTTTTTCTTTCTTTTGCATTTTAAAATTACATATACTATACACTGTTTGGGAGGAGATTCGTTATCACTAAAAGAAGAGGTATCACATATATTGGTTATTTTAAAATAATTTAAAAATGTGTCGATTTGCTACCTACGGAAGAGGATTAGGGCCAAGAAATAATATAAAAATAAAACCATCTCGAGATTAAAGTCGCTAAATTTCGAGAAAAAACTCGTTAAATTTCAAGAAAAAAGTCGAGATAAAATGTAGAGTTTAAACCCATTAAATTTCGAGAAAAAAGTCTAAAAACATTGAGAATAAACTCAATAAATTACGAGAAAAAAGTCGTTAAATTTTGAGAAAAGAAGTCGAGTTGAAATGTTGAGAATAAACTCATTAAATTACGAGAAAAAAGTCGTTAAATTTCGAGAAAAAAAGTCGAGATGAAATGTTGAGAATAAACTCATTCAATTACGAGAAAAATTTTAAATTTCGAGAAAAAAGTTGAGAATAAACACACTCGTGTCATGTTCATTTAATCTCGTTCATCTCGTTCTATTTTAATATATTTTAAAATATCATTTATTCCTGTGATGGCAAAGCTGAATTTTCAGCATTATTACTTCAATCTTCGGTGTCACATGATCAGTGTTGGGGAGTAACTAGTTACATGTTATGGAATTACGTAGTTTAGTTACAAAATAAATGTATTTGTAATCAGTTACAGTTACTGAGTTACTTATGAAAATGTTAATGATTACAAAGGGGGTTACATCTGAATTTTTTTCACACACACACACACACACATACAGTAATTGACTTCTTTCATAAATTGCATTGTCTGCTCTAAAATATGAGACCCAAATGTTTCAGGAGTTTAGTGCACAGAATAAGACACATGATTGTTCGATAACGGTTTTATTTCCTATTTGGGTTGATGTGTATGCTTTATTTTTTAAGATCAACTGTTTTTCCCAAGGCATTGTTAAATGCCAGTGTTTCCTGGGTCTGTACTTTTGCGTCCATTCGTTTTTCGTTTTTTAACCCAGAAATGAAATACGGAAAATGCGGTTTCTTCTTTAATGGTTCAAACACTGATGAACAGAATAAGCAGACACAAACTAATTTTCATTATTCAAAATTCGTATTTCATTAAAAATCGTAAAAATTATATAAAGCTTGTTTTTAATGTATATAAATGCTCAATTTAATTTCTACTTTTTTAGAGTCTCTATACAGACGCTAGCGCCCTCTCAGGCTACTGACGTGGCTACCATAACTGCTTTATGGAAACCTTTAGCTTCGATATTTTTATGATCTTAATCATTTTTCACGCCTAAAAACATGTAGCCTATGAAATACTCATTACATATTTCTTTGCAAATAGATCCTGGGCAAGTTCTACGGGAGTGCTAGAGGGAACGAAATGAAAGCCAGAGAAGGTCAGTTAAAGCAAAGACAAGGGACTTTGGTTAAAGCTAGAAATAGGACACTGGCGAAACATATTTTCCAAATGCTCCAGTGTGTATTCGTGTTTGAACCCTGGAGGTTTCTATTTTCAACGTGTTTTGTAACACTGATCAGTAGCCATCACTGACATTTTCTGTTGATTTCCTGAGTGGGCAAGCTTTTAAGTTAGAATCAACTCCAAGCCACAATTTTTATTCAGTTTTGCACGCTTGGGAGTCTCTCATTATAATAAACGAAGTGTAGCATGACGTAAATAAGAGATTCATTGTGCAGTGTAGAGCTTCATTCATTCATATCCCAATAGGCTATATCATTTCATGACGATAAATTTCCCAGGATTCTGCAGTCTATTTTAAAAATCATATTTGTATTAAGTCTCTGCATTGTTCCAAAGACAGCTCTAGTTCTCAACTGAACATGTGGGAGAAGCATTACTAAATTTGGCCAAAGAAAACTTGTTAAAATCGGCATTTTTCTATATTGTGCATTTTTCAAATGTTTATTAAAAGCGCAAAACTTCATTAACAAAAATCTGAAAAGAAGTCAATATTTTACTTTTTCAGACAGCTCTAATTTCAGTTTTGGTTTTCAGCATAGCATTTAAAAATACAATAACCATTCTTTTTTCGTCATGGTTAAAAAAATGACAAACGAATTGACGCAAAAGTACACAGACCTTCATGTCATAGCTATGCAAATATTTGATTTCAAAAACAGTATCATATTAAACTATTTCTTATTATGATTTTAAATCTGTATTTAACCTCAGAACGATCTCAAAGTTAAAAGAGGTTTTAAAAGCCTGATTTTGTGGTGACTGTGCTTTAAAATTAAATTATTATAATCTTAATTCAAGTGATGAAGGATTTTGAAAGTCTGACAGTAATCAGTGTTGAGTTCTACTGTAGGTTAACCCTGTTTGAAAATGGTTAACAGTTGAAAACATTAGAAATTTAGAAAAGAAATCAAAAAGTAATCAAATGTAATCAGTTACATTACTTTAATAAAGTAATTGAAATAGTTACACTACTTATTACATTTTAAATAGGGTAACTTGTAATCTGTTACCTATAACATTTCCAAAGTAACCTTCCCAACACTGCACATGATCCTTTCAGAAATCATTCTAATATCTAATATTATAAGTGTTGACTTTATCAGTCAGTGACAGACTGAAGAGTGCAGAGTAAGTTGCGATTTCATGCAAAAACTGTTGGTAGACGACGTCCCCTGACAGAACTGAAATGTATCAAGCTAGCAGGAAGCAGCATTAAAGCAAAGTGTGTGTCAGTATAAGAAGGAACATGTTAGTTTGTGTGAACATTCTGAAAAGTGTTTTATGTATACTTCAAGTCTGTGACATTTTCTGCTTTCAGGAGAAACGGCGGATACAAGAGGAACAGGAGCGAGCCAGGAGAGAGATTGAGGATGAGAGACTGAGACTTCAGCAGCTCAAGGTGTGCGCACACACACACACACACACACACACACACACGTTTGCCTGTATGTCTGTGACCCTGTTTTGCAGCCGGACACATCAGGTCACGTTTGTGTTAAGTAGGCTGCGTCATGGAGTGGAATTTCACAAATGTAGGCCTATATGCACGCACACAAAAAACTAAATGCTCAGAGTCACCAGAGCCACATGTAGAACACAAGATCATTCAGTGTATACAAACACACACACACACACACACACACACACAAAACAAACACTCTTCTTGAGAATTGAAATGTTATCCTAGAAGGTTTAATGCTTGTGTGTACATCTCTCTCTCTCTCACACTCTCTCACACTCCCCATTGTTTCCATAATATTTCCAGATTGGCGTTCCCTCTTCCTATTCCTTTTTGTTCTTACTCTGTTGGTTCCAAGACAAATTTTGTATACACTGTGTGTCTGTGTGTGTGCATTTATGGGTGTTTCTTCAACTATGGGCCCTTTTGTCCTTGTGGAAAAAAAATCTCCTAAAGCAAACTTTTCACACACACTACTAGTTATATAAGTGTATATAATGCATCACATCGCATGCCTGACAGCATCATTTCTCAGAAACATTACAGTCATTTCCACCACATCTCAAATCAAATCATTCATAAACATTCTTGTAATGAAACAAAATTTTTTTTATTTTTATAAATAGTATGTAATATTTTCACACTTTTTTTTTTAAAAGGACAGCTTTATTTATGTTGACTGCTCTTTATTTTCTGACAGCTCAAATAATATTTTATGCTTTTGATAAAAAAAACATGTTTTGGTAAATAATAATTCTAAGGTAAATTGAAATTATAAAACGCTAAGTCAATGTTGAATAAAAGTCTATGAGAAAAAAAATTGACGAAAGTAAGTTGAAATTATGACAAAATGTCAAAATGAGAAGAAAACATCATTAAAGTCAAATTTTTTGTCATTATGACTTATGATTGTGAATAATTTGTGTACAAATTCATTTTCAGATAATATATATCAGTATGGCTTATGATTATTACTGTTTATCATAGCTTTTAAAATATTAAAGATTGAAAGTCTGGGTGAGGGACATCGATAAAATCTATATATTAAAGACATTTGAAAAGTAGGAAAACTAAAGTAAGGAATTGTGACAAGTTTCTAAGTTTAAATGTGATCACAATGAAGTTGAAATGTTTCAGTATAACTTAAAACCACTGAAACATAAAAGTGGCCACTGGACAAAAAAAACGCCCTTATGATAAGTAGTATAAACGGTGTTTGTAGGGTTTCTATTTAGGGTTAATAATCATAATGAAATCATGCATGCAGATAAAGTTATCTCACAGCCCCTGTTGTCTTGTGTTATCTTACATTAGTCCTCATACATTTTCAGTTTCCATGGTGCACATCGCTTCCTGTGTGGCAGCTGGTGGCTGCACTTTTGTGCACATTATGGAGTTCCCCGTCGATCTACTGTATATGTCAGAATACACACAGCCGTGTTTTATTATTAGTCAAATACACTCTAGATGGTCCTGATATAACCTTTCAGAAATGTGTTGTTACATGTTTTTGCTGTTGGAGGTGGAATTAGCAGAGGAGTGAAAGTGTATTATGCTCAGCAGGAAATTTCATTTCAGACTTTAACCATTTGGCATTCTCTAAATTGTATAAAGGATGTTTTGCAGCAGAATTATTCACTCCAAGTGCACTGTAACTTTTCTACCTTCTTCAGATTTTTCTTAATTTAAAGACCCCATGAAATAGTTAGACGAACACTTTTCTCTTTTCTTTGTATTGTCTCCTGCTGAAACAGGAAGTTGAGGTGTTACATATCAAACAACTTGACTTTTTTCCAATCTTGACAGCTTGTACCATGGACAAAATCTAAAGACAAACACATACATGATTTGATCTTCTGTGAACTACTGTCAAGAAGTGTATTAATTGACCATCAACAATGTTGAGTACATTGTTAAGGTTTACAATATTTTGGGGGTTTTAATTCAAATACGTATTAGCCCTATAATTGGCCAGACAAGGCCTGCTATAGAAAATTATCAGTCAAAATGGTAAAATTGTCAACAACGTTACCCATATAGTTTGTCCATAAATAGCAGCTTGGGAAATAGCAGATAAGTTACACTGACAAAATATATCAACTAAAACCAATAGTTGTTTTATTGAGAAAGCATGTAGTTTTTACACTTTTTCCTGATATGAAATGTACCCTAAATTATAGAATATGGTTTGTTATGTGTCTTTGGTTGCGCTAATGCTCATACTCTTATTACACACATAACAAACAACAATAATATGCTTCCTGCTATTGCTAGTCAATGCTGGGTAGGAGGGACTTTGTTATTTAAGAGATATTATTAGACATAAATTTGTATACACAAATTTCTATCAGCAGAAAATGTAAATTTCGCCTACATCTGCTAGTTTATTTTGTCAACTTTTAGAAACACATTCACATATAGATTTAAATACATGGATTGCAAGCCACACAATTCCAATTTAGATTGTGTGTGGTCTTGAACAATTCATACCATGCAACAATTAAGCAACATCATAAGAATATCTAAATAAACAATACTTTTGTGAGCTTAAGCATAGGCCTGTCACGATAACAACTTTTTGTTGTGCGATATATTGCCCCAGAAATAACTGCGATAAGCGATATTATTGTCATTTTAAAGACCATTTTATGCCACTGAATATATAATCATAATGTAACGGCATAATAATGCAAGAAGGCCTACACACTTCCAAATGACAACAAACTTTAAATTTTTAAGAATATTTAGATCATGGAAATTAAATATCAAAATATTAGATATATGGTGACATTAATTTTGAAGTAAATATAATGGGCGATATATTGCGTCGCACAAAAAAGGTCATGTACATATATTGTGCGATAAGTCGATATATTGATTATTGCGACAGGCCTACTTAAGTATAACCTTGACATCCTGGTCACATTTGCCCATTGGCTTTCTAATACATGCATTTTTTTCAATTCAATCTCGTGTGTTTTTATGTTAAATATTAACTTTTGGTGTGAATAGGCCTTTAAGCTCCAGAAACCAGCGTGCTGCAATGCCTTTGTTTGGATGTTAGTGTGAACCGCTGATAAGAAATCTATTTAAATAATGTGTCGCCGCATTAATTACTTCTTCCTCCTTTCCCTGTTTCTCTCACAGAGGAAGTCCCTCAGAGACCAGTGGCTGATGGAAGGACCTCCTACATCTCCTGACAGTACGGGACCTCGATCACCCCTCTGGGGCGCTAAGGCTCAGGAGATAGAGACACACATTAACAAGTATGATTTTTAATATTTTATTTTTATAATATTTAAAAATATTTAGCTTGGTTACCAGAAAATGTATATGTGGTTGCTGAGGTGATCTGAATTGTTTTTGGCACATTACTGTGCAGTTTATAGGCTGTTCTGAGTATTTTTAGCATGTTTCTACACAGTTGCAAGGGTTTTCTGAGTGTTTTAGCGCATTGCTAGATGGTTGCAACTGTGTTTTGGGTGGTTGCTTGCCGGGCCACAATTTCTCTGTGATATTCTGCTCTCTATATATGGCTTGGGTCTCTCCTTGATTGGAAGTTCTTAATTATTGTCCTGATGGTGGAAATGGGAACTTTTTTCTTACATTTTATGAAGCTCATCAATCTTTCGCTGCACATCAGAACTATATTCTTCGGCGTGAATCGTTGTGTTGGATGATTAAGGGAATTTGGCCTTTGTGTTCCCTCATATTTACATTTTTGGGAAACAGGAAGTCAAAATTTCATGTTCATAGTCACCCTGGTGTGTTAAAAAAAATTCATTATGAATGGGAATATACTTTAGAGACATTTTATTCATAAGAATTTCTAGTGGTGCTTATAATTGTGACCAGTGTGGAGTGTATTGGAGAAAAACATAATGTGATTTTTACCCACTTTCAGTTGTTTTGCATCAATGAAAGGTTAGATTTTTGTAAATTTTTAGAATAAAATATCATAAGGATAAACCAGACAGATTTATTTCTACAGCATCTTCGCTCATATTTACTGTACCAAGGGGCTAATAATTCTGACCACAACTGCCAAATCCCTGACCAAAATAAATAAATAAATAAATCTCTTCCATGAGCACTTTACCGCATCTATATATATATATTGCCGTATAAGATAAGTTACAAGCTGAAGTTTAATACTTCGGAGTTTGTTCAATACTCTAATCATACACACAGTAGTAATAATGTTGCTTCCCTCTGCAAACACCGCTAATTATTCCTGCCAAAGTACTGGAGCACCAAGTAGGTGATGGGTTTTTTTATCCCCCAAAATATCTTTCTATTTCTGCATGTGAGTGAGAAGGAGTATTTGAAGTTCCTGCTTTGCAGATCAGCATTTATTTGCTTGACTGAAGGAGATGGTGATTATTGTAATAAGCTGGCCGCTGAGATGTTCTTCTGTGTTGAAGCAGGGCTTTAATTAGTCAGAGCAAAGTTTGGCAGTAATAAGCTGCTCACTGCCCTATAGGGAACAGACTTTCATGGTGTGTAAACAGCCGTCTGAGGCCTCTCATCCTATGAGGAGTGATTCGTTTAATGCCTGTATTTGTTACAATGCAGTTTTATATAGCTATAAAGCATGCTGCGATTTCCAGAGAGGATTGCGATTAAGTAAATGAGTCCACGTGAGTGCAGGCTCACTTGCGCATCTTGTTTGTCTGATAGTAAATCCTGAAAAACCTACAGTATATTCTGGGAACCTGTTGGGGAAGCTCCTTTGAAATTGTAGGTTGTCAAAACAATCATGATTACAGGCAAGCTACACTTTAGCAAAAGTTTTTAGCTACACTAAAAGCTACTAATAAAAACTATGTTGAAGCCATTTAGAGGGACATAATCAAAGCTTTTAAAACCTAATGTTAATTGTTGTTCACAATTTATTTTACTTCCATAATATAGTTCTGAGTGAAACAAGATAGTAGCCTGGGAATCGATAGGATCGTGAAAAGTAGGCCAGAATGCAGCCAGACTGAATGAGAGTTTGCTTAAACAGTGCCTACACAAAATTTTAGAAGTCATTTCAGATGAAGAACAAGTTATTACATTTTGACTGAATCTTTGCTTTGGAATTATATGCGCTGATGAATCCTTATCAATAAGTCCTGGTGCCTGCACCAAGAACGTAAATTCTTGATTTCATGTTTTATTTTCTGCAATCAAAAGTAGTCATTTTCTCGCACAGAAACAATCACGATCTAATTGTATTTGAACCTAGAAATTACACTATATATCATCAAATCACCATAATATACGTATATATAAAAAATAGTCTGAATCGTAGGAATGAACAGTGGAATTTGACTCAATGTTATATTATTTTGCAAAATTATTGTAATAAGATTTTTGTGTGTGTATTGCTACTAAAAGCATGGCAACACTATTTTAGGAACCAATTCTCACTATTAACTAGTTGCTTATTAGCATGCATATTAGCATATTGACTGTTTATTAGTATTTAAAGTGCATATTAATGCCTTATTCTACATGATCATATTTTAGATCCTTTAATCCAGGGGTGGGAAAACTTGGCCCTTCCAGGTCACTTTCCTTCAGAGTTTAGCTCCAACTCTAATCAAACACACCTGAACCAGCTAATCATTGTCTTCAAGACTACTAGAAAGCTACAGGCAGGTGAGTTTTATCAGGGTTGGATCAAATCTCTGCAGGAAAGTGGCCTGGAAGGGCCAAGTTTGCCCATCACTGCTTTAATCTGACCCCATACCTAAACTTAACAACTACGTTACTAATTATAAATATATAGCAAATTAGGAGTTTGAGGCAAAAGTCATAGTTAATATAGTGAGAGTTGATCCCCAAACTAAAGTGTGACCAAAACCATATAATGCTGTGCAGGTTTCTAATGAATCAGTGAAATTTTTTCTTTAAACCAGCTGATTTAAATGTCCAAATGAACCAACTGAACAAAATTAATAAGAAATTCATGACTTCATATAATAGAGTAGACAAAAAAAAGAATGTATTGTTTTGTCTATACTGTTGAATTGATACTGGCCGACGTGACGTCTCCGTTCCCTCCTTCAGGGAACGAGGGTTACCATACGTAACCGAGATGTTAATATTGTTCTTACTTTTCCCCCCAACAGTACCTTGCTCTTCCCAGAAATAAAACTGTTTCTAAGAAGAAATGTCTAGTGTAAAAATTCAAAATGTGTCTGTGAGGAAGTATTATTGGCTTACTTAAAGGGGTCATATGATGCGATTTCAAGTTTTCCTTTCTCTTTGGAGTGTTACAAGCTGTTCGTGAATAGATAAGATCCTTAAAGTTGCAAAGACTAAAGTCTCAAACCCAAAGAGATATTCTTTATAAAAGTTAAAGAGGACACGACTAGAAATCAGTGGTTAAGTTGTATTTACAACACTGTTCCAGAACAGTTCAACCCAAATATTCAGAGTTTTGAGCAGTGTAGTGTAGCGCTTGTTATTTCTCGTTTCTCCGATCACAAAGGCAGACATGGTTTTATGTTTACGCGGCACGATGCAACGCAATGCGTAAAAAGACAGTCATTATAATCAGTAATTATGTCCCCACTGGATGCAACAAATGCCTCGTTTTTTAATGGGTTTTATTTAATTGGTTTTGTCTCGTTGCGCCAGGACACGCCATTATATGGTAAGGGGCGTAACATTTCCGTCACACGCTTGAGGTAATCGGCCAATCACAACGCACTGGATAGCTGGCCAATCAGTGCACACCTCACTTTTCAAAACGATGAGCTTTGTAAAAATCGACGCGTTTCAGAAAGGCGGGGCATAGAGGAGAAACAATAATGTACAGTATGTGGAAAATAATGTTTTTTTTTAACCTTAAATCGCATAAACACATTTCATTACACCAAATACACCAAATAATGTTATTTTTTAGCAACGTCATATGACCCCTTTAAAGAAAACCACAAGCCAATGGTAGGTTTCCACCTTATAAAACATGACATGCATGTATGTGCTTTAGATTACAGGTGACGTCTGAGCAGTTGGCAGAGGAAGAACTGAAACTGAAGCAACTCATTGAAGACGGTTCCAGTCAAACTGGCACAGACACTCAGACACAACATAAGGTGAGACACCATGTCTGAATGCATGATCATGCTGAACACGCATCTGCTGCTGTCACACGTCTGCTTGTGTCAGAGCTTTTCACCTCCTAAATCATTTTTCTAGCTATTCACACTAGTGTTTGTGGTCAGTAAGATTGGTAATTCTATACAGCAAGGATGCATTTAATTGATCAAAAGAGATAGTAAAGACATTTATAATGTTACAAAAATGTTCTCAAAGAAAATGTGTCATGGTTTCCACAAAAATATGATACACAGCACAACTTTTAAATATTGATAAGAAATGTTTCTTGAACACCAAATCGGAATATTAAAATAATTTCAGAAGGATCATGGTACGTTTAAGTCAATACGCTTTACTGTAAGATGCACAACTCTCTGAAATCATTATGAGCTGTTTATAAGTAGCAGCAAGTCAGGGCTGTTTTTTTATACTCGTTACCATCACAACAAACAACCTTGTATGGAGGTCAGCTGAACTGTAAATAAACACATTATTTTGTCTTTAAAAACACACTGAAGGCTGTTGAATCAGAGTTGCTGTGGTGGGCTGCAGTAAGACTATAGCTTATAGTCTTATCGAAAATTGAAGTTATTCTAATTAAAGAAATAGTTAACATGAAATGTTAATGAATTTGCTGAAAAACTCACCCTCAGGCCATCCAAGATGTAGATGAGTTTGTTTCTTCATCTTGTTTGGCCTGAGGGTGAATCAGTTTTCAGCAAATTTACATTTTTGTGTGAACTATTCTTTTAAGCTGGGTCTTGGTCTTATTGTATGTGTTTCTTCAAGACAACTACATTTCTAAAGCAATGAGCTCAAAGTGCCACATGAATACAACTGATGTATATTCATATTTGACCAACACAAAAACACAGGCACTGATGTGAACCTTCATGTTCTGTTGAGGCTGACTTGCAGTAACTAAAGAGTCAAAATAACAACAGTACATTTCAAAATTATCCCTTCAGATTATTTTAATATTTTCCTGTATTGTGTCAGTTTGGGGTCAGTTTATAGTTGACAGTAATTAACTGCTACAGTGTGTACACTACGTTTTATATCTCTGAGATATCTCTAAATAAGAATGAAAGGTTAAATACTCTATACTCATAATGACTCAAAGAAAGGTCATGCAGTATCAATGCTGTATTTTTTGTGATTACAATTTTGCATTGATTAAATAAATACTGCCTGCATTGAATACTGTATATGTAACATACTGTACAGTGTTGGTGTGACTCCACATTGTGGTAACTGAAGCTGATGTGTCTGTCTGTTGGTAAACGAATCTGGCAACACAGCCATATTTTTTCTAAAGTTGATGAAAGATGAAAGATCACCCCTAATTATCCAATCAGAGTGAGTGAAAGAAAGTATTAGCGGTAAAACGGGGAAAGCTTCACATGAATTAGATGATTGCTGATATTTACAACAATAAAGGAAGCGTGAGTTATAAATTATAATGATTACAATTTTGCATTGATTAAATAAATACTGCCTGCATTGAATACTGTATATGTAACATACTGTACAGTGTTGGTGTGACTCCACATTGTGGTAACTGAAGCTGATGTGTCTGTCTGTTGGTAAACGAATCTGGCAACACAGCCATATTTTTTCTAAAGTTGATGAAAGATGAAAGATCACCCCTAATTATCCAATCAGAGTGAGTGAAAGAAAATATTAGCGGTGAAACGGGGAAAGCTTCACATGAATTAGATGATTGCTGATATTTACAACAATAAAGGAAGCGCGAGTTATAAATTATAATCACACAAATCTGACACAAGCGCTACAAACCTGAAACTGGCTAGCTAGTCTTTTAATTTTCAGCTAACGTCAAAACTATTTCATATAACAATTAATGTTTTTAATGTTCTCAATATGGTAATAATATTAACTGAATTAATTAAATTGTCACTTAGTAATTTTAGTGTATGTCAGCTTCTATTTGTTACCAGCCATGATTAATTCATTCTATGAGCAAATGCTTGATATACTTGTAAAGTGAGCAGTTCTCATAGATAAAGTGAGTACTAGTTCTCATCTGGTCATGTGACCTGCACATGAAGGGACATAATAAATACAACTGCTTTTATAAGTATATAAAACATATTCATTTCTTTGTGTAAAACTTTTAATGAGGGAAAATTGTGAGTATACCTTCAGTAAATGGTTTATGGTGTTTCTCTAAATCACATTGTAAGCAGAATGCTGCAGTATTTGGGAGACAGTTGGAATATTGGTGTGCATGTTAATGAACTTAGAAAGGAAACTTCTCTAGTCTAGAATGGAGGCTGATCAGAGACGAGCTCTTCCACCCATAAATGTTCCATGGCCTTGAATGAAATATTAAGCAGCAGAATGAGAGTGTGATGTGTCCTCTCTAAGGATGACTGTTGACCTTTTCTCTCTTGTTCATCCGATAGGGAGAGGCCGTGGTGGAGCCAGTGGGAGCAGGTGAGTGTGTGCCACCTGTCCTCTCTCTGTCCCGCACCTGTGTCCAGGCTAACCATCTGCCTGTCTGTTTCAGTTACACAGCATCAGGCTTGTCTGCTTTCTAGACCTGATTATTGCTTACACAAGAGAGTATAATCCTTGACAAAAGCAATAGTTGTGAATCTGTGTTAAATTAATTCCTGGTTAATTCAGTTGGTAAGAGTTTACAATAAGGTTCAGATTGATAACATGAGTTGATGTGTTAGAGATCATCCACTAACAATGAACAATACCTCTACAGCATTTATTGATCAAGTCGAACACTAATATATTTTTTACATTTATGAAGTCATAACATAACATGAAACAACATGAATTATCAGTAATCAATTTATAGTGATACTTAATATTATTAAATAGTATATTATGTACACTACCATCTAAATGTTTGGGGTCAAGATTTTCTATTTATTTTATTTTTTACTTTTATTTTGTGGAAAAAAAGGAATACTTTTATTCAGCAAGAATGCAATTTGTTGCAAAAAATCTATTTCAAATTGTTTTGAAATTTCAAAAAATATTAAGCAGCACAACTGTTTTCAACATTGATAATAATAAATGTTGCTAGAGCTGCAGATTTCTGAAGGATCATGTGACACTGAAGAGTGGAGTAATGTAGTAGTTCAGCTTTGCCATCTCAGGAATAAATTGCATTTAAAAATATATTTATTTTAAACTGTAATTAAAACATTAAGACGTCTTACCGACCTCAAACTTTTGAATGGTAGTGTATATTTCTGATAATAATCATGCATGTTACAAAATTTAAACTTTTTGTGAAGACTTACCAATCTACTTTAGACTTATAATAATAGACTTTTTTTCTAAACGGACCATAATATTTTGTAATGAACATGTTTTTAATATATTAACAAAACATCTTGCCACCTTGGAATTATATGACTCTGTCTGCATTCTGAGTGATTTTGAGATAATGAGCTTCAAAGTTTTTGAATTCCATATACTAGATAGAACCTTTTTGTTATTTAAATAAAAAGTCCCAAAATATACACAACTTAAAAAAAAACACATAATGTAAATAAGTTGTCACAGAATAAGAATGTGAATAACTCAATTTTGACCAAAATGTCAGATGTAATCTTATTATTCCAAGGAGACAGTCTCATCTAAATGGTATGCTATTGAACTAATATCAATCATAAATGTTTCTGATCAAACAGCAATTGCTGAGGTGGACCCTAATGCACCTATCATGGAGAACGGAAAAGAGGAAAAGAAAGGTATAAAATTATGAGTGATTATATACTATTCTTTCTTTAGACTTTGGTAACTGCACCAACAGATGCAGACCAACTGCGTCGGTCATCAGATTACAGTATGTCATTTCTCAGACATTCCAAAACTCAACAAATGCCAATTTAACATGTTCAACTGGCAAAAACAAGTGCCAATCAACGCAAATATGGGTAGCACACTATCCAACAAAACTCGGTGTCTGTTGGCACAGTGTGAATTGGCCTTAACTTATCATTGAAAAACAATCACTTACATTTTTACTCAAGGAGGGACCTGATATGTAATGAGCAGTAAACACACATAACAACACCCTAAAATACGCCCAGAACACCTTAACCATCACATAGCAATGGCCCAGCAACAATCCACAATACCTTTAACATATTCTCCTACTATCACTCTTTTTCCCCTGTCTTTCTCTTTCTCTCTGTCTGCTTTACATTCTTTTCCTCATTAGTTTAATATTAAGATTAAAAAACCTTTAATATTCCATCAATTATAGAATTAAAGCATTGCCTTGCCAATGCCTTGTCTTAATAACTTCAGTATTCAATATCGTGTATGAATATCAGAAGTGATTCTAGATTCATACTGTTGGTTTCTGTTGCAGATGATTCAGTGCAGGCTGAAAATCACGATGGGGAGGAAGCAGGAATGATTACTGGCGCTAAAACAGAAACAGACACCACACCACCTCTTAACGGAAATGCTCTTAACGGTAATGTGGAAGGAGAACCATCACACAATAGTCCGGAAGAGGACGAACATGCTTCTGCTAACGACTTTAACAGCCACCCTGCTGAAGGACTAGGTGCAGGTGGTGTAACTATGACCTTCCTTGGCTTCAAGGAGGCGGAGCCTGGGCAGGGAGTAGATGAGGATGATGACGGCGGAGCAATTATCCGAGCAGAAAGAGTCATCATCACAGACGAAGGGGAGGAAATCCCAGAGGAGGATAACAAAACTGCTCAAGAACCTACTGTGGACGCCACAAATGAAGACACTTCTGGAAACACAGAAGAAAATGGTGCTGAGGAAAAGACAGAGAACCATCCGGAAGCTTCTGCTGACCCAGAACAGGCAGAAGTGATTGAAGATCCTCCTGCTGAGGAGATACTTACAGATGTAGCAGTTGAAGGTGAGACACAAGATCTTGAGCAAGAGGAGAAAGATCTTCCTGAATCGACTGAAATGCAACCCCAGAATGTGACAGTAGATGGCACTATCGAGGCAGCCCAGGTTCCAGTGTATTCCACAACACAACCATCTCCAACAATCAGACCAAAAGTCGAAGCAAACACAACAGAATTGCAAACCCCAAAAGACGAGGAGGTCAAGCCCGCCATGCGCATCTCGCTCAGCCAATTTCAGGAAGTTCCACTGGATGGCGCCGGAACAGAAACAGCGGAGTCAAACGCCAAGGCAGAAACAGAGAAACAGCGTGCCGAACAAGAGCCTCTGCTCGTCTCCAAAGCAGCGGCTCAGCTGGACACCAGCGCCGCAAATCGAGCAGAGGACGCAGGTGCACCAAAACGAAAAACCTGCCAATGCTGTTCGATCATGTGAACACTCTGTTGACGTTTGGCTGTGACTCTTTTTATTCTCCATTCTTTTTCATCGTGTCTGTTACTCTGAATATAGAGTTTGTATTTCAAGACATTCGTATTTTGATCTTCAGCTGTTCACATCGAAACTTGCAGCGGCGTCAAAGCACAAAGTGTTTATGATGTACTGAAGCCTTCGAGACTTGCATTGCCTTCACTGTATTGAATTCCCCACAACTCTTTTCTGTGTAAGAAGAAGCACATTGCCTTGCAGGAAAAGACTGGAAAGACTGGCTTCAGTGTGCATGTTGTTGTTGATATATCACCATTGGTTGCATTCCCAGCCTCTGGTGTCTGATTATGATCCTGTTTTTATGTCTGGCGACTCTAGAGCGTTGGCTGCCGACCCACAGAGGCCTTGACGGTTTTAACACTATACCATATAAAAATATTTTGTTTTCTCAGTGCCGTGGGAATTGACCCACGTGGGTAATTAATAAGTCTCAACCTACAATAGTTGTGGTATTCTCTATTAGAAACCATTCGTGTGCCTTGTTTATGAATCAAAACAAAGAGGCAGCAAAGAGATGGAATGGTTTCCTGTGATTTTATACACGCTGTAACATCTTCAGAGTTTTTGTATTGTTGATGTGAACTGAGTTTCAGTTTGATTGCTTTTATTGTTACAGTGCCTTTAACTGCCCGACAGAAGCGTTTTTAGACTTTAAAGGCATGGTTTACCCAAAATTCAAATGTATGTGATGAAAATCATTTCATGTTGTTCCAAAGAAAACAGTTTGTTCTGCAGAACACAGAAGATAATTTAAAGAGTGTTTCAATAAAGAGAGATTATTTTGTCCTGCAGAAGAAAGAAATATACAGGTTTGGAATGACATGAGGATGAGTAAATGATGACAGAATTAACATTTTTAGGTGAACTGTCCCTTTAATGTGACCCTATGAACAGTACTTAATATACTTCTGTCCAGTATACAGTATACGGCATAAACCGCTTCATCAATCTTGGCAATTTTAGGTTCATTCTCCAACTAACATTTCTATAAGGACTGCTCCTGTTGTCTCTCATTAACACGGTTTAAACTGTGTGTGACAGCGATTCAAGTTTCATACCATGATATGTAATCAATACTATTCAAAGTTTTCAGTTGAATTCAGGAACTTGTTTTTTCAGCATAGACATTTTGATGTAAATTCTCAGTGCCTTAACTGAGTGCCTGTTTGTACAGTTTAAATAAAGAGCTGAATGAAAAGCAGTGAGGATTTTGTATAGAAAGTTTACATTGGAAGAGCTGCAGGATTAATAAACTAAACTGATGAAATGTAATCAAGGCTGTCTTTTTCTTAAAATAGATTGAAACAAGAAATAGTTTAGAAGGTATATAATGAGGATTGTATATGCTGTCAGCATAAGGATAAAACAGTATCCTTTTGAAATTATGTATAAATGTATAAAAGAGAATCAAATAGTAACGCCTTTAAAAAACAATGGCAACAATCCTTTTATCATGAAACATGAAAAAGAATATTGTATATTCAGTGTTTCAGTGCTGATTGTTTAAATATTCAGTAGCTTGAACCGTTTCCATATTTATATTTAAATTAATTACATTTTATGCTGCTACACTGCACTTTACAGTAAGTTTTCAATTCATCAACATGAGTTAATGCATTCAGTATCATGAACAAGCATTTATTAACCAGTTTAATTAAAAAGGTAATTATGCTTAAATTTGCCATCTTTCATTGTTAACTCATGTTCAATTCATAATACATTAGCTAATGCTAACTGAAATTACAATGTATTTGTATATGTAACCTAACATTAATAAATGCTGTAAAATTATTTGTTAGTTCATGATACCTAATGCACTAACTAATGTAAACATTAAAACTTATTGTAAAGTATTATAGTAACATGTAGATCTTGCATTATTGTGTATGAATCTAAAAGTTATTCATAAAGAGATCCCCTGTTCAAACCCTGGCTTCAGTCATGAGAGCTTTGAGAGCTGTTTGGATTAGTGATGCAAGGCCCATGGTGTACTCAACAGCTTTAGTGCAGTGTGGAAGAAGGAGAGAAATTAACTGCACAGATTTTAACCTTGATTACTAAGCAGGGGGTGGAGGTACAGAGAGAGAGAGTTCAAGAGAGAAGGAAACCAGGGAAAGAAAGGGAATAAGGTGAGAGGGGCACACTTCAAAACGTCTTGGTGGACGATTTCAGTTCTTTGTGTCTTTCAGCTGACCTTCCATCCTTTCTTTCATCTCATCGGCTGGTAGGCCTATTTTCCTTTTTCATCTTGTTTTATGTATAAGAATGGGTCATGTAATACATGTAGCTCTTTATCTCAGTAGTATGTGTTACATTGTCAGGAATTTCAACTTGGGCTCATCAGTAGGATATTGCAGGATTATTTTATTTAAAGCCCTCCATATTACTAGTGTACATAGAAGTACATCAAGTGAAAGAAGTGCACTTATCCATATTTAGTGACAGCTATTCATAGTGTCTTGAGATTTATGGATGCTGACAGCAGTTTTTAGTATACTGTAGCTAAATATAGATTTGTGCTACTTGGATTTTGTTTATATACTTAATATTTAAATTTTCACAACAATCTTTTACATCCCTTTGAAATTCATTCATGACCTTAATTATATAGTTTGTGGGTGTTCTATAATTCATAGGAACATTAAGAATACTTCACTGTTGCTGTATTATTCCTGAATCAGACTTTCCATATTGTTTTGTCACTCATGTCCAGAGTATAATCTGATTAAACAGTATTAATCTGCTCCTTATGTAATTAGCATTATGCTATGACACACCTTTAAGTCTTTGTGTTTCTTCTACGTCCAGTGGAAAATGCAATACAGTGTCCAAATGTTATATTGAGAATGATCAACTCATTGTCAACAAAAAAAATATTACCTGACTTGCATGGATATCTGATTTTGTATTTAAGTAAATATGATTCTGAGAAGAGCTGGTTAAACTTTTACTTTCTAAAGAATGGAGATAAACTTCATTGACTGGGAAGGTGGAAAAAGTTCCACTTCTGACCCTGCACACTGTTTAATGTTTTTCTAATTTTAATAACTGTTAATCATTCTTAGTCACATGTGCCAATATGAAAAAAAACCCAGTATGGATCAAGGTGCAAGACAATGACATTATAGCAAAACAAGAAGTTACAGAAAAAATGCCTTGTCTATAGCCTGATGTAAAGACTAAAAAATAAAATAAATATTACAAATAATTGTTTCAGGTGACCTATTTTAAGGTGAGCTTAATGGGAAAAGACACTAATCTGACTTGGAGGCATAGGCGTTAAAGAATAAATGGCCTAATGAATTTGATTAAGACATAGAGGTCAAAAAATTGTGAAGCAAAAACCCAAAAGCAACGGTGAAAAAGATTCCATGCAGTCACACTATAACTCAATTTAGTATGAGCCTTCCTGAGCTACTGGGATTGAAACATAAGCTGATTATAGTTTCCTAAGTCAGCAAAAAACTATAAGTGTTTCCTTTACAAAGAAATGTCTTCAGGGGTCTCACCTCTGCTATAAAAATGAAGAACAGGTGAGAAAATCAGTAAGAGACAACTTTGTTGATTACCAATTCAATCAAATAAAGGAAGCCTGCTTCTGGCTTGTCATTCTGTTATTGTATAACGCATTTTGCCATTTATTTCATACAGATATATTGCAAAATGGAAACAGATTCTGTGACTTGCCCTCAGAAATCTGAATTCCAGGATGAATGCAGTAGTAAAGAAGGAAAACCCCACTTCACTGATGATAGGGAAACAGCAGTCATACAAGATCACATGGAGAAAGATAAAAACATGGCCACAGACCCCCAAGACATGAAAAACAAGGACAAAGAAGTTATTAGTGAGTTAGAAAAAACAGAAACACCTGACAGCGGTTTTCCACCTCAACCTCACAATCATCCCACCTCCTCACCAGCGGATGGAGCCATTGAGGCAACAGAGGAAGTCTTGAGCAGTACAGTTGAAAATGACCCAACTGGTGATCAAGAGTGGCCACCAGTGCCAGGACTGGAAGAAGATATCCAACCAGAGAGGAGTGGGTGTCAGGCCATTGAGATTCAGGATGAGGTGAAGGAAAACACTGAAACCAGTGAAGATGTTCAGACAACTGAGGGTGAAGAACCTGTTACCATGACACAGGCAGACAAAGGCTCACCACAAATACCAAAGAAAGCCTGTGAAGAAGGACATGACCTTGAGTCACATGGTGACTCTGACTCAATAGTGTTCCTATCGGAAAACAGTGAAGAGCAAAATATAGACTGCAAACCTGTGGACTTTGCCACCACCAGAGAGCAGTGGGTGAGACGGGACAGTCGTTGTGATGAACCATCAAACCTGACGTATTCCAAGAGCTCCTCAAAAAGTCTTCTCACTGAGACCGAACCTTCATCAAGCACCCAAAGTGAATCCACAACTGAACCTGTGGTTAATACTGAGAACATCCAGCAGGGGGAGCCTGAGGTAAACAACCCAAGCGGTCTGAATGAGAATGAGGAGGTGCAACAGGTGTGTGGTGCTGCTCCACCCCTAGAAACAGTTGCAGGCGAGCCAACCAATCCAGAGCAAGGTAGCTCTGCTTGTATCTCTACTGAAGTAAAAGAGCCATTGATAATGCCACAGGGGAGGAGGGACAGTAAAAGGGAGGAGAGAGAGAGCAGTGAAACAGGTGAAGAGCGAAAGCAAACAGTGTGTTTCACAGAAACAGGTGGGACCGAAGGAAAGCAGCTGGGGGAGGTTAAAGATCAAAGACAAGAACGGGAAAACAACGGGCAGAGAGCAGAGTCCCAGTCAAACACAAAGCCTCATCTGGGAGAAGGGAAAGTCAACAGAATGCAGGTGGATCATTTTGATGACAGCCAGAGCGATAGTGGCGTATCAGCTGATTTCTCCCCCAACAGCACAACAGATGTCTTGGAGGGCCATGATAATGATGCTCCTCAGCCCTCTGAATCTCCACCTAACGAAACTCCCATTGAGAGGGAGATCCGTTTGACCATGAAGAGAGAGCAGAGTCTAAGGCGTTCTCGAGGACTGTGCGACACCATTGACAGGACTAATGAGTTTGTGGAAATTCCGGCGAGAAAGCCTATTCTATCCCAGGACCCTCAGATAAGACCCAACCCAAGCCACGGCAAAGACCGGCAGTTTGCTGGAAAGAAGATGCAGAAGGAAATTAGTGCTGAGACAGAGAGGGAGAAGGTTCTGGTTGAACTGGGCCGACTACCTGGGTTCTATGACAAAGGAACAGAGGTACAGCTTCAAGACAAAAAGCAGCTTTTTGAGTCATTCCAAGAGCCTAAGGAATCGGTGGCAACCATTAGCAGAAGATCTGCCACCGTAGAATCTGCCGCTGGAATACAGGAAGTTGATTCTGCTGTTGATGTTAAACAATGCCTAATGCAATTCTCACAAAATTCTCCCACCCAACCAGTTACGACCCAGTATGGAGCCACCAACGGCAACCCGCCTACTGCTCGAGGACCTGGTCTAACTGAGGGACTCAAGGGCCAAATAATCATCATAGAGGCCAATGCTATTCCCACAACTGTGGGAGGACAAAACGGAGGTTATAAGACAACCTCATGCACAGATGGAGGATCTGTGAGACCGATGAATTCAACGGGTGTGAGGGCTTCTTCTGCCGAGCCTGTCAGAGCAAGACAAGGCCCAAAGTTAGAAGTGACTGAAGATGAAGACTCGAGTTTAGTGAAGGAGAACCCTTTCTTCAAGCTCCGTTCTTCTATGAGTCTGCAGTCTCAGGTGGAGCTGGACATTAAGGAGGCAAAGGAGAGGGACCGAGAACTGCAGAGACAGAGAAACAGTCTTTATGGAGGAGCAGCCATGTATACAGAAGAAGGAAGAGGAACAGGAATGTATTTGAGGACAGAAATTAGAGTGAGAGAGTTAAGGGGAACCTCTAGCCAAGAGATTCCCCCACCTCAACAGACTCCAGCAGGCCGCCAATCAGAGACGTTCACCACCACCACGTCAGGTGAGTCATTGTAAGCAGCATGTGAAATTTTGGTTTTGGTTTACAGAGCAGTTCAAATCAACTGAAGACGTCAGTCACACCATTGGTGCTTTCATGTTTGTAGGTGAAAAAGAACATATTGAAGGTAGGGATGGTATACATTGGATGTTAAATGAATAAATGCAGTGGCGTGCACAGACCTCGGTAGAAATCGCTCCCCCTCAGTAGAAATCGTGGTCCGGGGGCACCTAGATCAGACCGGAAGGGAAATTTATTGTTGGTGAGCCCCCCGACCTCACTGA